TACTGAGAGCCAGCAGCTCAGGGGCAGGACATCCAGCAATCAAAGTCATTCTGTAAATAAACTAAGTTTTAAAATGAGCGGTTACCTTTTAATATTGTTTTATTGCATTGAACCATAAATACAATAAACAGAACCCAAACCCAGAATGCACCCCCCCCCCCCCCACCACACACATAATTTAGTTATTTATTTATAACTCCTTTTATGAACCCTTTGGTGGTCCAGACTGAAGTCACCGCAGCCTGCTGGTTGAATAGCCCTGATTTAAAGGTTTATTGGTGACGCTTTGGACTTGATCTGGTCATGATCCGGGTCACGGAGCTCTCAAGCTCTTACACTGAGAGTACCAGAACCTCTGAAGACTGCTGATCTGGACCACACTAGAACCGGTCCAGTTAATAAAGTAGTTCAAACCTGGACTGTTCAGTTTAAGGTTTACTGAAACATACTGAGACTATTTTTTAAAATATATAAATATGTTGGGAGTGAGGCTACAGACACGGAGTGAAACAAAAAACTAAATTAGAATATTATGGGATTCTTGTTTCTGTGATAGTTAGCATTAGCACAACTAGCTGCTAATGCTAATATCCCTTTCTTACATTTTATATCAATAAAATTTAATAAACAAAGCTATTGGAGTTCACATTAACATATTAGCATATCTAGCTGCTAATAATATTTTCGTTATAAATTTTTTTTTTTTTAAGCTAATAACAATAGCATTAGCGTTAGTGATGCTACCTTGGATTAATTGTACCATCGTTGTGGTTTTGTACTGCAGAAGCTGCCAGTTCCGTATAATATAATTAATATAATTAGTTAAAGCTCTAAACATCATGTCTGCTCATTAGTGGGTCCAACAGATTTGAAAAGAAACACTTTAAAACAAATGGTCTTACTTGTTTCTTCTCTCTGGGTTCTCCTCCATTAAAACCCAACCGACATGTCCGTCAGACGATTCAACCAATCAGCTGCGAGTCTTCTGTAGCCAATCAGCTGCGAGTCTTCTGTAGCCAATCAGCTGCGAGTCTTCTGTAGCCAATCAGCTGCGAGTCTTCTGTAGCCAATCAGCTGCGAGTCTTTTGTTTAAATAACGTTTCCTGTTGCCTTCGTCATTGTGGTGTTAAATGTGCTCTAAAAGTAAAGTTAAAGCTTGTATTTAATTATTTTATTCTTAGTTTTACTGTCAGAAGAAAAAAAAAGAGGATTTTGATTAAGAAGGTGATTTTTTTAATTTATTATTATTTAGACAAAGTGTTGATTTTGCCTCTTTTTGGGTGAAATAAACTACATATTTATCTGTTTTATGAGATTTCCACTGAATAATAAACAGGATTTATTCTTGATACAATCAGAAATCAGGTTTTCTGTGGGTGAAAGATGAAAAAGATAAGACTTCCACGCGTTCGTTCAGTCTGAGACCTTTCTCTTCCTTCCAATGAATTATTTAACATTAATGTGAATGACATTTATTTTGCTGCAACTATCTGACAGTTGAATTAGTATTTTAATTAAACTAAAAGTTTAATTCTACATATAGCAGACTAATCGTTGCATTTCTGTCCCTGACGTTTCACATGTGAACTGAACAGCTGTTGACGGTGAAACCTACGTTTTTAAGGTTCTCTCCTCCTGCAGGAGGACGCTGCTCACCTCATGAACATACGGCCATCTTGTTTACCTGCGTCTCCTTCCTGGCTCACGGGGAGCAGCGGGGCTTAATTTGAGCCGGATCCTGCTGGAACAGGATCTGGGAACTCTCTTATTCTTATTCCTCAGGTGGCTGTGGTTGAGTGGTTAGAGCAGTCGTTCTCCAACGCAAGAGTTGAGGGTTTGATTCCACGAGCAGTCACAGCCGAAGTGTCTCAGTGCAAGACACTGAACCCCTCACTGCCTCCGATGTGTGTCCCATCACTGTATGAATGTGATACAGCTCTGATTATTCTTTGTTTAGATCTGGCAGAGTGCTGTATGAACGGGTGAACGAGGCACAGATTGTTGTAAAGAGCTTTATACGGATAGAAAGGAGCTGTATAAGTACATCCTGATGCACGCTCACTGGATAAGTACAGTCCATTACCATTCATTTTGACAGGGTGCGTTCCAAAACTGTGCTTGGATCTGGCAACTCTCAGGCTTACCAATAATTAAGTTATGGACAAATATGACAGCCTTGAACAAATAAAACTTATATGGGATATGTAAACTGAAAATAATAAACACAACAGTCACGTACAAACATCAGAGCTGCCTCTTCAAGAAGCATTTCCACATCTACCCTGAAAAAAAATCTCTGTCCCTAAAAAAGTGGTGGGCGTGAGTGCCGAGCTGGCAGGCAGTCGTTTGCAGGCAGGAGCTCAGAGGCAGCCGCCACGAACAGACGGAGGAGGCGCCTGGAGGTTCACGTGTGGAGTCGGACGAGCGACAGTCGGGCTCGGAACTGTAGGTGAACGTAGATGTTTAACAACCCGTTAAAATACAACACAATGCAGGAAATCACATCTACTTTATTCAGAATTTTCTGGGGGAGGACCCCCAGACCACCCCCCTCCCCCCACCTGCTATTTGCACTTGGCATCAATTGGTTTACAAATTAATCCCTGGGGAGCAGATGTTTCCAGAAGTCTCAGAACAAGAGATACATGCACATGTCTCCAGTCCATCACAGGGACACATGGAGACAAACAACCATCCACTGCACCACTGCGCCGCAGCAGAAATTGTTCAAGCTTCAATTTGGTCTCCAGAGGAGTTCCTGGTCCACTGAATGAGACAGTGGGGACAAAGCTAATGTCTCACTGGGCTGGGACAGTCGGGGACGAGTTGGACACGAAGCTGAAAGTCCCCAGTTTGTGACGTCAACACAGAGCTGAGCTGCAGAGAACCCAGAAACTGGAAAGTTCTGAGACTGATCCAGATCCCGCGTCACCCTGACTGGTCTGTTCAGGAAGTCTTCGACCCACCCCCCAAACACCAGTTCTGATCACTGGTTCTGCTGGGTTCTGTTGGGTTCTGCTCTCTGAACTTCACAGAACCAGTGAAATAAGAAACCGAGCTGCATCAGCTGGTGATTCTTTAACTTCTCGTACTGTCAAAGTTTCTAATCAGCATTTTACAAAAGCAACAAACATATTTTCTGGACTTGACGTCGCAGTTATTATGCGTCGCCGCTGACGCCTTGTGCCCGGGAAACATGGGTTGGTGTCGTGCCAGAAATCGATTGGTAGCCGCAGGAGTGCGCACGGGACGACTGGCTGCTGCAGTTCTTTGAAATTTAACAAGATTAACAGTAGGGGTGTAACATTTCATCGATTTAAATCAATACATCGATTAAATTATTAATTATTCAGTTATACTGTGGCAAAACTAAAACATCGATTCATATCGTCATTTTTAAAATACGCTTTTATTTTGAAATGCCCAAGGCACGTCCGTCACCATTTCCGTGCGCGGCTGCGCTCTGCGGCCGCCTCAGCAACTTGGCAGACGAGGCAGAAAACATGGAAAATGAACTTCTCTCTCCTGCTGGATTTAAATCAACTGCGTGGAAACATTTTGGTTCCAACAGAAGAACGGCTCAACAGACACCTCGTGTGCAACAACAGGTGCCGGTGAGTTCAAAACTCGGGAAACAACATTTGTCCGTTCACCTGAAAAAGAAACACGGCATTGACGTTATGTAAGATCAATATCTATTTTTGTTTCTTTATAACTTTTAAGTTAACTGGTTTAAAAAATGCACTTCAACACGAGAAATGTGAGACTTTACTGAACAGGTCATTTATTGTCATTTTGTCATTAATTAAGAAAAATCATTTTTTATTTAAATGTAATAACAGAAATAAGTGGTTAAATCATATTTGAATTGTTTTTGTAAATGTATTTATATTTAAATGAGATGGACATTTGATATCGCAATAAATCGATCGCAGACTTGTGAATCGAATAGAATTGAAATCGTATCGTGACCGACTTTGTGATATCGAGAAAAATCGTATCGTCATCCAAACAGATCAATATAATATCGTATCGTGGTAAAGCTGGTGATCTACAGCCCTAATTAACACCTAAAATCATTTTTTTTGTTTGCCCCCGTCGGCAGCCACACCGGGGACGAGGGGGCCCCGTCCCTCCGGCACCGGAGCGGATAGGAAGGTCGCAGTGAACGTGGTCCACGGCCCCGGGAGGCGGCGAGGTGCGGGCGGGGTCCCTGCAGTGCAGAGTGCCGCTCACTAATACACGAATGTGTCTGTGGAGTGATAAGATGTTCTGAAGACCAAGGATAATAAATACAGCTCGTGGTGACGCCGTCAAACGTCCGTCTTCTTGTAGGAGGAGTCAGTCAACATAAATTACAGTCGCGGACCCCCCCAGGACGACCCAGAGCCAGTCGCGGCGCACCACCGTGGAGGAAACGCTCCCTGTGGGAGCCAGGCAGACGTGGGGTAAAGGTCCACCACCGAGCGGCCGTCCCTCCCGCCAGGTTGAATCCCCCCAGGCAGACTGCGCGGACCCCACCCATTTACAAACGTTCTTTCTGCTGCTCGATTAACATTTTAGTTTGAATTGTATTTTCTTTTTGGAGGCATTTTACTTGTGTCAAGCTTTTCCTGAGTTGTCGGGGGGGGGGGGGACATTTAACGCGTCGTCAAAAATTGTGTCATGACGAGAAAAAAACTTATTATTAAACTTATTACTTATAGTCACTTGGGCCTGCACGACACACGACTGGCCAAACTGAAACAAGGAGACGCTTACAGGCCGGAAAGTACGGTAAGCAAATTTGTGACTCTCTTCTGCCCCCCCCCAGCAGACACCACAGTAAACTTCTGGAGGTGCCTCTGACCTTTGACCCTTCTCAGATGGATGAGCAGCTGTTTCTCTGAGGTCATTGCTGATGCCTTTCCAGCCTGGTGTTGTGTAACATGCATGCTGCAGATGGAGGTGATCCAGAACCAGCTGTAAGTTTTGTTTATGGATCAATAATGAAGCCGACGTCGTCTCTGATCATCTTTAATGATTAAAAGTTTCATGTGTGTGAATAAATTAAGACTTTGTTACAAAGTTAAAGGAAACTTCCTCGACTCTCTGGGACTGAAACTAAAACCGGACCAAAACCTTTTCCAGAACATTTCAGCTGCTCGCCTCGGACCGACCGACCTCCAGCCAACAGAACCAGAACCTTCCCTGGACAAAAGTTCCTGCAGCTCAGAAGAAAAACCCGGGTTCTGACCGTCCACACGTGTCCCGCTGCGGTCACATGACGAGTGACGGGTGTAAGGCAGCCAATAGCAGCCCGGCTCTCAGGTGCGCCTCCTCTTGGCACCTCCTGGACTCGCCGGGTTGGAGGAGGAAAGCAGCTTCTCAGTTGTTCGACTCCTCTTCCTCTTTTCCGCCTCCTTGGAGCCTCCTCCTCCTCCTGCGGCTCCTCCCTCGCCTCCTCCCTTCTCCTTCTCGCGCTCCTTCTCCCGGCTGCTGCTTGCTCGTTCCATCTTCACCGAAGAGTTACTTCCTGCAGAGAGAAACCAGGTTCAGGTTTGTCGTCTCCAGATTTGGACCGGGTCGGACATCAGGCTGCGTTCTGATTGGTTCACAAACAGAAGGACAATTACCTTCTTCATGAGTAGCAGGAGGCTCTCGCTCCATCCTGACCTCCTCCTTGGTCTCCTCGTCCGAGCAGAGCTTCCCTGAAACCACAGTAAGCATCATCTGTACGGCAAGCCCTTTGTGCATTTATTGATGACGAACAGTTGGACTGGCAACACTTTAGACTAGTTGAAGCAGAACATGAACCAGTTGAAGCAGAACATGAACCAGTTG